CGGCCCCCGGGCGGCCCCCCCCCCACCCCCCCCGCCGCCGTAACGGCGCAGCCCCGGGTCTCCCCCCGCCAGGCCCCGCAGCGCAGGGCGGCCCAAAGGCCGGTAGGGTTCGGCAGCCGGCGATTAAACCGTTCCTGCCACGCCTGTAACCCCGTCCCTCCGTTACAGGAGTAACCCGGTGAACCACGCTGGTACGGCCTCCCGGTCTGCGGAACGCGGGGCTGCTGGCGGCCTTCCCAAACACACACCACCAAAAGCACACTTTTTTTTTTTTTTAAATCTTAATTCATGTTTTAATACCTTTCGTCAAGATCTTAAAAAAATACAAATCAAAATACAGCACTGGTATGATTCAAACGCTGGCTGTAGAAATTCAGTTGAATGAAGGCAGGTAAAAGGGAGTGAGAGGTTTCTGAGAAAACACTTCTTCCTTGAAGACAATTAACTGTCAAAGCAAGTTTGGGTTTCAGGGATTAATACTAAACCAACAGATCTCCTGTTCCTAAAATTTCTGAAGCTGAAGTTTGGCCGTTGTCCAGTTTCCAATCTAAAGTAAATACTTTTTGGAGTTGGAACTTAAGCTTAAAGAAATTCTGAACCAAGCATCGTCGTGTTCTTCAGCTTTTGTTTGTGAAATTGTTTGACATGGCTTTCAGTTTCTTTTGAAATAGATTTTCATTTCAAAATGTTCAAGGACCGGGTATCATTTCCCATCCAGCAATAACTGAAAACCACTATGAATGAGAAGGGAATCACTAGGAACAGTTATAAAAAGAGAACTGTGAAGACAGATTTAGTTATTCCTGAAGTTGATCCCAGTAGCGGCCCCGGTATGAACATCATTTGAAGTGTTTTGTAATCAAAAGGTCATGTTATTGAAGTCACAGTGACAGAAAAGTGCTGTTGGAAATGAGCCCTGAATTGTATCTGGAAGGCTGCAAAACAAGGCACACGATGGCTATTGCCTCGGGATGGTTGTTTAATTTTGAGAATTCACACGATGCCAGCCTTAGGCCACAACTGTATCTCTGTGGGGTCTGTGGTTTTATTTGTTACATAGAGAATTTACATTTGAAAAGAGGGCAGAGTGAAGTCCTCTTTACGCTGCTTTATTCAATAATGCATTTGTAATTTTTATATATGCAAAGTGTTTTTTCTCTCATGCCTGGTGTAGTTCAGGAAATTAAGCTTCTCTCAACCACACAGGTGTGATGCAGGAAATGCATACAACATAGCTGTTCAGCTGCTTTTAACTCCTTGCAATTGACAACTACTCATTAGAAAAATTAAAATAATAGACCGTGTTAGGTGAATTCTTCAAATCAGATTACGAAATGAAATTTTATTCATCTGAAGGGCCTGTTGTTAAACTCCCAATGAGAGGGTGGTGGTAGCGGCAGTACAAGCACTTTGGTATTTTGTTCAATAGTATTAAAATGTTTTGGCTGTTCTGATTGCTTATTTCAGATGCCTGTCTTCTGGACTTAACTTTAACATTCATGCAGTCAAGCTACTGCATGTGTAAACCTGACGCTACAATGTCACCAATGACACAGGCCCCATTTTGCAGCAATGAAGTACAGGTGTTCTTTTCAAGTGTTAGTTTTGAGTAATCAGTGCCAATATAGAATTTGCGAGCACAATTCTCTAGCTGACAATGTGGATTTTAAGTATTTTAAAAACAGGAGACAATTGTGAATGGCTCTTACTCTGTTTAGAGATTGACCATCTCTTTTCCTGATTAGTTAAAAGGCAACGTGAACATCAAGACATTTTCTTCTGCTGTATAAAATGATTCTGAAGTCAATTTCTTGAAATCCCATCCTTCACTGAAAAGAACACAATAAGAAAAAAAAGTTATTAATCAACCTCATACCACAATTCCCAACCCCAGAAGAACATTTTTATTGGAACCAGACCACTGCTCTTGGCCATTTCTTCTGAAAGAGAGCAGGGCACTTTTTTTTCAGAGAGAGATGCCCACCTTTACCAATGTTTTTTTTCCTGTTGAAAAGCAGAAGTTACTCAGTAGAGCAATGTTTCTAGGCAAGTATGTCTGAAGACACACATACCTGCCCAATCTGATACCAATACAAAAGCAATATTGTTATCAGATTAGGTGCCGTCCTCAGCTATTTGTGAATATACTTCAAGCATCACTCATCACTGATAAGTGATTTGTGGACAAGTTAAATTAAATACAAATGTAACCTGCTTCTGCACTAGATTCAGAAAACACGTCAGCAGTCACAGCCAGTGCACATCTTATTAACCATTCTTTAAGCACAAGATATTTTGGTAGTTTCATTTCAAAATTTCGGAATAACAGTATCCAAAGTTCCCATGGGTACAGATTGTTAGGCTATGAAATTCGGTGTAGAATGAAAAGCATTCAGAGTTTCATCCTTTTCACATGAGATCAGTGTGCTCCCCCTGACTTGAATATCCCATTGACTTACAGGATCCAACTGTATTTTATAAAATTTTCAGAAACATCCATATATTCATAAGATCTAAAGATAAAAACAGACAACTTACCTGAACACTGAAGCATTTTCCATTCCTGCTGAAATTGGTCTCTTAATATTTTTATTTTATTTACTTTTTCTTGGGTAGGAGGTACATAAACTCCAAAGTGAGGTGTAGAAGCACCCACTAATACTTTGGCTACACTTTGCATTAAATTTATCTCTGTGTCCTATTTAAGAAGAAAAAAAAAATACTGTTGGTAACCAAACTTTCTTTGTTTCAGTAATACATGAAATATTTTAAAACAAGCCTTTGTAATTATGTTGCTAGTATCAGTAGCAAGAGCGAGCAACTTTCAATTTTCAAATAAAAATGTGTCAAAATTGAGTTTTTTCTGGAAAAGGTAAATTAATTTTTATCTCCTGTAAAACTTGCTGTTTTTCAAATAAAGAATCTCAAGTTTTCTTTTGTGATTGAAAAGAAACAGTGCTGGGCTAAAGGTAGAAAATGTCAGCAGGGAAGAGGAGCATAGAGCTTCTTTACTTCATGCATCATTTATTCTCTAGGTGTAGGAAATAGCAATATGTTTTGCTTTGTCTAAAAATGACATTTTTTGGACTCCTGACAGTCTGAATCAATGTCATTTGCTCACAGAAGTTATATTCTGAGGTATCCATAGTATATGAGGACTAATAATATTTATTTTAAAAATAAAATAGAGTAACAGTCTTTAAAGACAGAAGTATTTTTTTTGATTATTCTAAAAAGCCAAGCCCATGCATCAGAAAATCCCCACACATCTGTGATGGAGCTACCTGCAGAGTATCAATACAAAAGTCTCAGTCTTACATCTTAAAGATGTACGTCTAACTTCATTTTTATCTCTGAGTTTACCCTTCAGAATATTAAGAATTCTTTCCTTTTCATACCCTTAATTAGTAACGTGCAAATACATTATTTCTGTATAACAATTTACAAATCATATTAGTCAATTTGCATATCAGCACTGTAAATTAAATAGCATTTGAGAAGGCTACAGAATAAAGTATTGCAAAATCCACTTAATTGGCAGCTTAACAAATAATATGTCTTTAATTTGATACTTGCTGGGAAACAGATGAGAATAAAATTGCATATGTGAGCAATTATTCTTTGTTTCTCATTAAACTAAAACTAGAAGGCACAAAAGCAATCAAAAGTCACTGTTTCACAGAACACAGAGAAATGGTGGTAACTCACAGCCACAAGACGCTGCAGAGGCCAAGAGTGTAAACTGAGCTCTTTAAGAGATTAGACAAATTCATGGAAGATATGCTCACTGGCACTTATCACACCCTGCTCTGGATACAGCCTCCAACCTCCTAAATTTAGAAATCCTTAATGTGGTAGTGTATGGCAACACTGGAGTAGGGAAAGATCCACATACACTTTATTTCCCTCGCTATCAGAAACACAAGTTCAGGTAGATTGGTTCTCAGTTACCTATTATGGCAATTAAGTGCCATTTTGATCTATCTTCCGCGTGATGTGATAAAGTAGAGCATGGGGGAGAGGAGCAGAGGAAATCTAGTGTTTTATGATAAATGGGACAATGGGCTGCTTTCAACCACATTTGATGGAAAAAGGCCCTATAATTAACAGACAACAAGTGTTTCTTTTCAGGAGACAACTCTCAGCTGCGAATCCCAGATGGAAAGGGAAGTTAATCCCCAGGCTGTGGCAAATTGTCAGAACATCTCCTGTCTGTAGATATAACCATGGGCTTGCATTCATGCCTTGCTTCTCAGTCAGGCAGGCTGCCTACAGCTCGGTGTGTATCTGAGCCTGCTCTTCTTCTCGGGCCAGAGACAAATTTGGGCTATTTGCATGGTTAACTCAGGGGTACCAAAGACAGTACAGACACAGCATATGTTTTCTTGAAGCAGTTCATACCAAGCACACTGCTGCTTGAGTTGAGTTCTGCCCCAGGCACTCTGAAATACCGCAGTTCAGCACCACTTCTTACCTCCATCACTGCCAAAATTCGAGACTCGGCTAATCCTTGTAGTAAAGCAAAAAGCAGAGAAATCCCATTTATTCCAAGGCTCCTGTTTGGTCCAACAGCTATTACTGTCAAGTTAGGCTGGTAACTGTAGGCTACAGGAAGAATGAATCCAAGTACAGCGGAAAAGAAGTCGTTTCCTTCAGCATCCTTTAACAACAGCGAGAAACTGTTTAGCACAAATGTAAACCCCCAAATTTGCAGATATAAAATAAAATAGCAAAGTGAATCTCAAAAAGCATTTGATTGACCTAGAAACTGGACACTGATCTATTTTCACAGCAATTTTTATATTAAACAGGCAGACTGTATTTTCCTTAGTGTCTTCACACTAACTCTGCCTTCTTGAAGGTGAACCACAGCAGCCACTGAAGGTTTCCTCAACCCTACACATTCTAATACACTGAAGAATAGTGAAGGAGTAGTACTCTGGCAAGGGCAAGAAAAAAAAAATATTTTTAAAGGTCCACATTGCGGTGAGGGGTGTAATTCTCAGCGTCACTTTATGAATTTGTAAATATATTCTACTATTTCTGTTAAAAAGCCTTTTCTCTGATGTTGTTTCCAGAAAGTGCATCTTACCTCTTTCCAGTTTAGAGAAATATAGTGTTTGGAGCTGGTCTTTCCAGACTGTTCTTTCTCACCAATATGTATCATGAGTATTTTTCTGTAAATAAAAACCATATCTGAGTATTTAACCAACAACTTCCAATGAGATAAAAAGATCTTTTCTTTCACCATTCTTTAAATACTAATTCATAATGCAGGAGCAAATAACTATTTGCATTACTACATGCCATAATGTCAACACCAATTAAAACTAAACCCTTTTTAAGGTATTTTTAAAAGGAGTTTTAAAGACCATGGACAAATTACTTTTAAGAAAAAGGGCAAGTGGCAAAAAAAGTTATAGATAAGTAAAGATGACTTTCAATAAGGAACTCAGCATGGGCAGTATGTGCCCCCTGCAGTTACAGGGAGGTACACGCTATACAATTAATATCTGCCTTCTTTATTACTTTCTATTTTCAATAATATAAATTTCAATTAATATAGAAGGATTATACTTTAAACCTACCACTAAAGTCAGAGTGGCACTGAGAGATACCAGTTTGTCTTTAGAGATGTATTTGGGGATGTTTTGTATTTTGTCTCCAGCTAAATTTAATGAACATCAGCTCATGACTGATTCCTCAGGGCAGATTTCATCATATGTATGGACAATTCAGAATATTTATAAAGCTTTTGGGATATGACTCCCTGAAGTGAAAAGAAACCTCACCCATCTTCTGTGTTTGGTACAAATTGCATGTCTCCAACAAATATACAAAGCACTCTGCAGAAAACAAAGGAAAATATACATACATTTACATCTAGAAGTAATTTTTTTCAATCAGTGCAATTTGTTTAAAGAGTTTGCTTGTAGACTAGATGCATGAAAAAGAAGGTATATTGTTTCTGAATCTGGTCCATTAGAAGTATAAAGAAAACACATTTATGACAACTCAAGGGAACTCCTTTTTTCCCCACCAAATACTGGGGAGAAAAAAAACAAAATCAAGAAAATGTCCTCAGGCCAAAAGCAAACTCTGACAAAGAAAATGTTGGCTAGCAGAGCAGTCACCCTTAAAAATGTTTTGCCTTTCATAAGGCAAAAGGTTTTTCCTGGCATTTACAATATTGTCTGCTACATATTGAAAATGCTACGCTTATGGAGTAGCTATTTGTTTTAAAATTAGGGTTTCAAAGGCAATTTGCCATATTTCATACACTTTAATCTTATTTCTACATTTTGTCAAAGGGCCCCAAATGCAAAAAGATACAAATTCACCTTTGAAATCCAAAACGAACAGCATGTCTTAGTGCAACAGCAACAGAAGATGTGGGTGATTCTGCAATTCCATTGCATACCTAAAAAAATAAATTTTTTCATTCATAAATAATTAACGCTGCACAAGACCATGTCATTTCCTATTTGTAACAACTGTATTTTTATTTCTTTATATGTATCAAACAAAGCTACAGCTGTATGAAAGAGATCTTAATGATCTATCATAATAGGGTTAAGAAAATGTTATTAATTAATTTTCTACAGAAAGGCTATATTTGATTATTATGCCAAGAGCTGTTCTATTACTTCAAAAGTACAGTGCTATGCTGACAGGCAACTGTAAAAATAGCTTTTGCAGGGGAAGGTCATCTTTACTAGTTCTCTCAATAGTCTGTAGATTGGATACACTCAGTGTGCCAGCAGGTACTGCACCACAAAAATACACCCTATGAAAAGGAGGTTGTCCCTGAATTCTAATTCTGCCTCTTCCTTTAACCCAGGCAAGCTACTCCTTTCTGGAAAATACAATGACAGCATTACTCAGTCAAGCTTTCAGTGTTTGTGTTGTGTAGCGCTTTGAACTCTACATGAAAGCTAAGCAAAAGATAATGCATGCTCCCCCTCCTCACTCCTCTTTGCGTTTGGCAACACAAAAAGCTCAGCTTAGCATCTGCAACTCATGAAAAGTTCTGTTTCTTTTTGCCAGTTACCTCTGGGAGAGCCTATAAATAGATGAAAAAGAAAGGCATGTGCAGTCTTTAATGTTAGAAATTTGTCCCTGAAATCTACAGAATAACCTCAGTCAGGTTATTACTGACCCATATGCTGTGACTGCAGAAAAGCAGGACAACATCTCGTCTGAAAATCATCAGGAAGATGTCTGGGGTTTAACGACTATCCCTAAACAGGTTTTTTTTCTCATCTTGCATACTCAGTCTCATAGCTAAGCACATTCCATCTGAGATCAGTGGGGTCGTGAACCACACAGTAACTAATATCTCCATGACAATATAGTAGAAGCAGAAATCAGAGGAATCCAACTCTCCCCTCAGCCCCCAAGATCCAAGTTTATTATTACCTCCTTCTTCAGTATTTTATCAAGGACGGCCAACATACCACCAAGAGAGAGCAGAGTTTTGTCCTCTTTCACAAGGTCTGCATAAAAGCCACTGTAAAATAAATTATATAATAAAAAGCTAGGTTAGAGGCAATAACGCATTCAAAGAGGACACTGATATGGTACTTTGCAGTTAGTACTGACGGGGTGCATTTTGTTTAGGTTGCTACACATTCCTTCTCATAATCCCAGCTTTAACAGGACGATGACAACACTGCTGCCTGACAATCCTGAGCTCTCTAAACCTGTCTCCATCCTGCACTGGAAAGAAAACAAAAATGTCTGACAATAGTCAGGAAATAGAGTCCTGAAAAATTAAGACTTTCTAAGACAAAAAGTTGAGCTTTCCAAATCAGACCAGTTTGGTATTTTTTTCAGCTAAAAGTGAACAGAGAACTTGAAGGCACCTTCCTGGCAAAACCTCTTTCTAAATGAATACATTTGCACTAACTGCTCTATCTCCACTGACACAGTGTATCCTGATTAGTTCTTTAAAGAACTTCAAAACCAGGAGTGATAACCAACACCAATGGCTTCATTTTTCAAAGAAGAAACTCTAGCTATCATGGAGTAGACTAAAAAGACAACCATGGCAGAAAGAGAGAAAGATGAGTCTGTACACAGATCTCTCATACTCATAATTATGTTGAAAATTCAATAGACAGGACCAACCTGACAAGAGCTTTTATTTCAGTTTTGTCCATTTCCTTCACCAAATGAACAGGTACAGGGAGTAAATGTGCTGAAACTTTAGCATCAGTTGTTGTTGCTGTTTTGATGGGAGGCACTGGAAATAGAATATTTTTCATGTGCAGTTCCAAAAACCTTTCTACTTTGACAGTTTCATCATTGTTAGATTCATGTTCTGTGGTGGGGCTTGGATTACCCTCCTTTGGTAGGTGCGATTTGGTGCTCAAATTTTGTAAAAATGATGTATCTAGAGAAAAAAGAAAAAAAAAAAAGAGGGGGTTTACATGTATTAATTCCTGAGCAGTGTGTTAATATATTTGGTTATATATATTTACAAAACAGAGCACATCTGTAGTCATAGTATGGATATTTACTCCCATGCACTAGCCAAAATGCTTCCTGCCACAGATGTTATTTTTCAGTGCTACTACATTTGCTTCAATCTAGCAATTATGTACATATTTTTGACACAGGAAACAGCATCCTCAGACAAAGATATCAAAGTGCTTTTTGGCATGATGTTTGCCAGTTTCAGAGGTTCTTTTCAGACCAGCAGAGGATGTGGCCCTGAATGAAGCCTCACACTGCTCCATCAGTTGCTTCATGAATAACTGTTAGTTCAATTATTTTAATCCACTGGTTTTAATCTTAATCATTTTGAATCTCTGTATAAATCCATTTACCAATCACATTTGCTTGAAGAAAGCGTATTTACCTTCATACATCAACCATTTCCAGTAGGGCTTATGTGCTGCTCTCACATTTTGAATAGATTCAATTGCACTACAAAAGAAACAGGATTAATAGTATCAGCACTAACGAAAATACAGGAAACAATTTGCCTCAACAGAAAAACAAAACCAAAAAACCTCAACTGAAAATTAACAAACTCTGGTCAACTCCAAGAATGCACAACAGAAAAATAAAGAGAATGAGAGTCAATGAGCAGGTGCTTGGAAAGATTAGATGGAAGAGTCAAAAAACGAAGTGAAAAACATATGCAGTATGTGCCTTTTAAGTACACATTTGCACATACTGAGTAAATCCTGACCCTGCTGTGGGAAGACACATACCTTTCCATGACTTCAGGAAAGGCAGGATTTCACCTGTCTCTCTTTTCTCTGTCAGAGATTTTATCTACAGAACGTAAAGATGTAATTAGATTCATTCAAAAGCAAGACTGTCTGTTCAGGGAGATCCAGAGTGGGACAGAAACCAAGTAAATAATATTCCCTGCTATTCTTTGTGTTGAAATCTTTTTTACTATCACTGCTATTTGCAGCACTATAAGCAAATGCTCCTATTATGCTAGCTATACACAGAAAACATAAGCCAGGTCATGTTAAATCCAGGACAAATTCTGTGTACGTGGAGATTATTTGCAAGTTGTTCAGGAGCTGGACTGATACAACAGATGAATATGTAATCAACTCTCTATTTACCTAGCACGATAGCAACCTGAGATACTGCAGCTGCTAGAGAAGCAAAAGAGGTGATACAGGTACTATGGGATGTACTAGCAGCAAAACAACCAGCTTTGCTCCATCAGAGTTTACCAAACCCAACTCTGCCCACAGCCTGGGTATATTTACACTGCTTCCCTGACTGATCTGAGCTCCAAGTTTTAACTAACACAGACAACCAGCTACCACTAAAATGCATGAGGAGCACCACTGCTGAAAAAGGGCATGGAACAACTATTTAAGTGGTAAATAGATGGAAGATGGAACACAGAGAGGTGGAGATGGTACAGACAGGCAGAGAGAAAGACACTGTTTAGACATGGGACTGATTCAGGTCCAAGATTCAGAGTGCTCTACTGGGTCAGAGTCACCACTGTGCAAACACAATCTTACTGTCTCCAAAATTAAGTTAGACCCTAAGTTTAATTATCTTGGTACAGCTCTACACAGTCCAGTGCTTTCACACCCCAGGCCTAGATACTCCAAATTCCAGGAACACAAGGAGCCATCAAGACTGGCTCTGCACAGCATGAGCTCTCACTGGTGAAGCAGAGGTTAGCTCCAGCCATTGCTGGAGCAATCGCAGTGGCTCTGCAGTCTGAAAAACAAATCCTTGCAATTACATACTTTCCCGGGTGCTGGCTGTTACTAATTGGCATTGCCTTGATTACAGCAGGACCATCTCAACCATGAGTGAGATGGATCTCCACAGGATAACAAGGCCCAAGGATGAATAGCATAAAATTATAAGCCATTAAGAAGTTTTCACAACTTGAAATCATTGCAGAAACAAAAGTATGAAAAACAACATACCTTGGATGACTATTCTGGAAAGCAAGTTATCCAGAGCAAAAAATAATATACTATAAAGCATCATACTAAAACCCTGCGTCAGCAAAATGTTCAAAGCATGCGTGTCTTTAGTCTCTTTGATAAATATGTGGGTTGTTCTAAAATTCTTCATATGCTTACCTTAGGCAAGGTGCCATTTCTCCAGTTATTTGAGCTACAGGATCTCCAAGCAAAGTCTATACAGTCATGCAGACTGATTCTGACAATGACTTCAAGTGGTATCCACCCTAGAAAAAAGTATTTCGTGTCACCTAAGGAAGAAGTACTTGTAACATCTAACTGAATATCATCATGGAAAATAAACTTTTGAAATATATCTGAATTTACAGAAATGTAAGATGATACGCAAGTACATCTAAGTCAAGGATTTTCAATTTGAAAACAGTAAGGTTGAGGCTACTTGCTGAAATTCACTGGCATCCCATGATTCAGCTCACTTTATCATGGTTCAAATCATTTTGGAAATCAAATTGCCATGAAAACCCTGGAAACATATGTCTTCTCCATTCCTATCCATGACATGCCATCCACAACAACTCTTGTGGAAGATTTGCCTAATATGTCTGTACAAGGGAAATCTCCCACAGCCTGACACTTAAGATCTGGTTGTCCTAATGGTTTGGAAGAATTTGGAGAACAACTGAAGACAGACTGCAGAAGAAAGACTGCTCCCTGCACACCACCTGTGGAGCAGTCACATCATCTGTATTAGGAGGGGATGCTTATTTGCACTTCACCTAGCAGACAGAAATATCTGTAATAACCCGCAGGAGACAAAGATGATGGAAAAAAGGTCACGCAAAACAGAGGTCAAGTGAATCAATTCATGAACAGTTCACTCATGGAAACCTTGTTGGCAGTAATATTTCCACACAATTATTTACCTGAAGAGCCACCATTTTTCTAACATGCAGCAGAAATAGGGAGTAGAAATCTAGGTTTCAAAAGGAGGAAATATTTTTAGTTGCTTAAAAAAAATAAAATAAGAGCTCTTAAAAAAAGAGCTTGCATAGAGGCTTTTAATCAAATTTACTACGGGCTCCATTACTAAGTAAGAGTATATTTAGGTTAAAGGATTTTTAAACTCTCTTGGAGTAAGACATACTTGTGAAAACATTGGTAATGCAGCTTATTCACTAAATGCATTGTAATGAGTTTGGGGCTGTGCAGAGCAGCAGACTAGTCACTGCTCAAAAGAGCTGAACACATCTGTGGAGGATATGTTTTTCTGAACAATGAGCGTATGCTCCTCTGCTTCAAAATTTTAAGGTAAAAAAAAAGTCAGTTTTTAAGACATGTATTTCTTCTAATTTATAAGAGCATTGTCAAATCTTAGCCATTTTTGCGTCCCTGATTCTCAAAAAGAAGATAAAAAGAATAAATGATTTTGCTACGAAGTTTCACTTCCTAGCTTCAAGCTTGCCCCATACAATTCTAATACAAAGACCCTTCCCCTGGGAGTGTGTTTCCAAAGCCGTTACCTCTAGGATGACACACAGCTTTCCATTAGCCAACTGCATCAGGAAATGGGTAAGGTGGGCAAAAACCTCAGGAGTGGCATTCATCTGGCCCTAAATAAAAGAAAAAAAGTTAAGAAATAAAATCCTGAATAAAAAACACTGGTAAGGCCCAGCCCCATAATCTGAAACACATGGATCTGAGTTGGAATACTGGAATATTTGCCTCTCACTGTATCTAACAAAATGCTGAAGCAACTGCTTTAAAGGAAGGTGCAAAAAACACCACAGTAATTACGCCTATGGGATAATTTGTCTTTACACATCTTGTACTATTTAATGAGCCAGAGTCACCTTCAGGACTCAAAAAATATATTTTTAGCTTGGTCAAAGTGAGTTTCACTGAGCAATCACAGGACAGTTAAGCGGTAGGAATATTTTGCAAACAATTAATGACTGACAACACAAAGGCCACAACAAGTTACTTACTTCAGGGTCTCCAATTCCAGAATCATATCCAGAGGAGACAAGAACCAGTTCAGGATCAAACTGTTATAAAACAGAGAGAGTTGCAGCACATTCTTATCTCCTATTTTCAATTTTGTACTGGATTTCAACTGTACCATTTTCAGCTGTTTTTTCAGCTAGAATATGAACACAAATAAAGACTCTCCTTGAATAAAAACTAAGATTACCCTTTATACTATTTTCATTCCCGCTAGAGAAGCTGCAGATTGATATTGTTTATTTAAAAGCTAACATTCCGTAAATATTATTCAGTTGATCAGGACATTATGCATACCAGCAGAAATAACGTGTTAACTGTGTTACTGGCAATAACTGCATTTCTACAAAATATTCAATGGTACCTGCTTAAAGAAGTACTTAGGAAGTAGTCTCTGTTTTGCTATTCAAATAGCAGAGCAGTAAAAAATTACCTCAAAAGCCATTGGAAGCAACACATGGAAAAATGCAGCAAGATAATCTGAATTTCCCATCCCAACCTGCAAGATGTGAGAAATATACGTCATATTTTCCTGTTGGAATAAAAAAATTTCCTACCATTTTGCAAGACTTTAGGGGAAGATAGTATCAAAAGTTAAAAATAAGGGAATTTTATGAGGTCAAGTAAAACAAACCCAATTTAAGCAATGTGCGTAAATATCAACCATTTCTCTCATCTCCCAAAATGCCTTCTGTTTTGACGCCTAGGCAAGATATTCAAGAAAGAAAAGACTATGTGCATGATGTTTCTCTATTACTTTTTTTTTTAAACCCATGTTATTATATTATTCTCAGCCATATTTCCTAGCAGACATTCCACTGACAGGAAGGAAGTACACTGCGCTGAGGCAGCTGCCAAGCAAGTGAAGCAGTGCACTCCTCAGAAAGCGCTATGTAAAGCATGAGATAGAAAGGTATCGCATTTGCTTTATTGTGCTGTAAACATTTACCTTATTCCAAGGCAAATTTATGTTAAAACCTTTTCCTTTTCCCAGACCCACAGCATCATAATCTGATTCTTTGAGCGATGGCCAGAATTCCTGATGTTCATAGCGATGCCAGGAAAAATACAAAACACTGAAAGATACAAGAAACAATTGCAACTTGATAAAAAAGTTCTGAAACTGACTTCATACCCTGAACCTGGTGGCTGTATTGACTGAAAGCATGAAAATAGAACCATCACCTTAACGGACTTGGACTGTGAAACTTGGTACGGTAGGTTCTATGCCAAAATTAACCTAGGACAACTGCTAAAAATGTATTGTATGCATGCAATCCCTTCACGTCAAAGACAAGACATCTTCAGAAGAGCAGACTTGCTTCTAAAATCTAATTCTGTGGCTTTTCAGAAAACAATATAAAGCTTGTGTGGTTTATCCAACTACTACTTGAGTACTTGAACTGAGAGATTCCTGAATAGAGAGAACAGAGATATCACCTGAACACTGTCACAGAGGGATCTTACTACTGGGAAATCAAGGTAGTCATATTGGTTATCTAGATTGTTATTCTTTACAGTAGAATAAATTTATATATTTCTGTCATAATCTTCCCTGTATTTGATACCAAGTGAAAACAACAATGACTAAAATAGCCAGGAGAATGTTTCATGTTTTATAAGATTTTTAGTTTTAGAAAGTTAAGAAATCTTGTTCATTGCAGAGGAAAGCAATATTTGACCAGCTAACAAAAATAATAATAAAAAAAAAATCCTTCAAACCTTGGATCCTCCTCAAATAGATACTGAATTCCTTGCCCATGGTGCACATCCCAGTCAACAATTAGGATTCTGCATAGATCAGTAAAAGAAAGCATTCAGTGTAAGAACCACATTATCTTGATCTAAAGGAAGTACAGATGAATAATGCTTTGCTGTCCCAGAAGTTATATGACACCCAGAAAGCTCACTCATCTAAAAGAGCACAATGTCAAACAGTTACCCAAGTGCCACACTTGCGTACAATAAGCTTCTCTAGGGTCAACCATGCACTTACCTCTGTAGACTGTATTTCAGTTTTGCATATTCTGCTGCAATAGCAACATTGTTGAACAAACAGAACCCATTAGCTGCATTTCTCTGGCTGTGGTGACCTGGAGGTCTAAACCAAAGTTTTATATGGTTATTCACAACTAAGGAAATTTCAGGGAGAAGTGAAGACTTTCTCACATGTTTTCTTACCTTACTAATGCCATTCCATTGCACACTTTTCCTGACATCACAGCATCCACCAGCTGCAAAGTTGCTCCTACTGCTAGTCTGGCACAGCGGTAAGTGTTCTGAAAAAGAGAACCTCTTAGGTGTCATCAATCACTCCTCAGCTTCTTTTAAACTAATCACACATGACGTGCTCTTGCACCCCAACAGCAAAGTGTCTTGACATAAGCCTACTCTACTGAGGTTGCATGCAGAGAGCTGAAAGCTGAAATTTACAACACAAATTCAAATGTTTTTTCTACTAGGTTTACCTGTGATTGTCATATCCTTTATAAGGATGTTCTCTCTGGAGCAGTTAATAAACATGAGATGCACATACTGAACTGACTAGTGGAATAACACAGCATCTTTGAAAAAAAAAAGAATAAAACCTTACAGAAACAAACCACAAAAGACTTCACGTCCATGACCTGGCAAAACGTTTAAGAGCAACTGTTACCAAAATATGATTTGTAGGTCACTAATGGTCTACAGTGACATCAAGTGACAAAAATATAGCTAAAATTTGAGTAGTGCTCTATAATGGCATGATGCAATTACAGAAGAGATGACAGGAAGCTTAACCAATTTAAATTACAGTATTATACTAAACTTGAAACAGATAACAATAATGTCAAATATATGTAAGTCTACTTAAATAGCAAAAAAAATGTATTGCTAATTTTCTCCTACTTAGAAAGTTCCACTAAGACACAAAACTACACATACTTGTAACTCCCAATAGAGGAAGCAGTTTAACTTACACACCGGATGAAAGAAAAAAGCATCATAATTTCCAGAGACTCTCTTCAGTTCCTCTTCATTCATTGTCTGTGTCCTTTTCGCCACTTCCAAGTGTTCTGAACTGCAGAGGAGAGATTAGCACAACACTTAACTAAACTATAAAGTTTCTTTTTTAATGCAAAACATAATTAAAAGTAACAATATATGTTAAAATGAGCTTTCTGTGAGACTTCACAAGTCCAGTAGGTGCTCTGGAATGCTAGGTGCAGGATAGTGTGAAAAAAAAAATAAGAAGCAATGTGAAAGCGAGGGTTCTTGGATGTCTTAACACATTCTTCTCCATTTTCCCGTGGCAAGAGCAATTGCTTTCAAAAAAGGGCTCTTTGTTCACCACGCACAATCTATTCTGTAATCCATACTACATATAGATACCACCCCACCAAGAACTAAATTATGATTCCAAAAGTCATCAGTGTGAGAAGTGTATCTAGTGCTCCCTTGTTCTATGGAAAACATGCATTTGAACTAATCCCTTATCAGGTGTGTACTAACTCCCCCTTTACATGGGCTCAAGAGTGCAATAAGTACTAAGGCATGAGAATCAATGTTCCCCCAGTTCTCTGTCAGTGCTCTCCTGCCCTTGTGTAGTGAGCTGGAAATGGAAGCTGACGGCATCTCCTCTCCCATCTGTGCCCTAATCCAGGACACGATGACCACATGCATTCCTCTAGGTGGACAAGGCCACAGCAATCAGAATTTCCTAACAAAATGAGACACACTAGTGCTGCCTAATGGAAATAAAGCTAAGCAGTGGCTTCAAAATAAAGGTATTAACAGGAATAAAACCACATGAATCTGAATGACAATATAATTACTAGTTTAACTTCATCAGCAGCCTCGTGAACCTGTGAACACAAACAAAACATTTTTATAGGAATTTTAAATTTCTTTCATTCTAAAAGTGTTGTAGAAAGGAAGGAGCTCTATTATCTCTAGCTTACCTATGGAAACCAAGACAAGACTTAGTGAAGTAATTTGTTCCCAGTCATCTAGCAGGAACAACTCAGCTGGAAATCATGATCAGGCCCTCTCCTGTACCCAATCAGCAACGTATTTACTATTAACATAGATTATATTGGCACACAGCACTAACTGCATTCTTACAAATAAGTATGTTATTGGGAAAAACACCGTTCTGGAATCTGAAAACTTAAGCATTAATTGGGATCAAGTTAAGATCCTTGTCACAGATGTCAGGGCCTCGAGTGCATCCCTTCCCTCCTGGGGTTTGGCTGCTGGATCCAGATCCAGTAGAAGTAGTAGAGCTGGTCACCTTTAGAGTGATAGAAGGAGCATCAGCAGAGGCTCCCTCCAAACAGCTCTGCTAAGTCTCAGCAGAGGCTCCTCCTCCTCCCCTTGGCACTTGCTTTTAAGACAAGGCTCTCACCCTTGGCCTGCACTGCAGCTGTGTTGTGTAGCCATGTCTGGACCTGTGGAGTGACTCTCTAGCTTGACCCCAGACCCGTCATGTCACTATGGCCTTGTCATGCAATCTAAACTCATGGCTCAAGCTGGTTACCATCACTGGATCTGTGTGATTGTGCCCTTGTCCATGAAGCCACTGCCTCTGGCTTCTCTGTCCTCACACTCTGCTTCCCTTTCAGAGAAGGCTGTCCTTGTTGCTCCCTGAGAAGGGAGAACGAGCGCACAAACACCACACAGAACCGTCTGCAGTTGGTTGCAGAGCCATCACACTGAGGTGACAAATGCCAGAGCAGATTTCATTGCCATGACTTCAGAACGGACAGGCTGCTGTTCCTCTTAACATCCCCACCCCTTGAATTCGCTGCGAAGTTTTTCTGTTTTGTTCACTCTATCTCAAAGATGCTTGGGAGAAGGAGGAGGTAATTATCTTTCTAAAGAAATACCCATTCTTCTACACTTTTTAAAGTCCAATCCTATGTATAAATCAGCATTCATTGCTTAAGAAGCCAAAGAGTAGGAACACAGATTTAGTGGAACAGCCGATTCATACTTCAGCTCCCACACCACTCTCAACATTATTTGCCTGCCTAAGTGTGATGCATTTTCCATTGAAATGACTGAAAGCCATTGAGTTTTGGAGCAGACCTTTTCAAATGGAGCAAAACATGGCCTGGAGGTATGTGTTATTTCATTGAATTAATCTGAATGGTGGTGAAAGTAAGTTTCAGACCTGTGAACCAACAGGATCTCCTCCTCGCTGCCTTCTCTGACAGGCACATGGACACACCTTTCCACAAGATGGTAACGTTTAAGCTGCTCATAGGAGGATGACAGTCTTTCCGGCACTTCGATATCACAAACAGGACTAAAAATAAGCAGTAATCATATTACTATGATAACATACCAGCACAGCTAACAAATATACTTCATCACTTCATAATACCTAGCTTTTAACTTCTCATTTGTCAGAAGATTCATTACCCTCATAGATGGATATGTGAGAGTAAAAGAAAAATAAAATCTTTAAATACTTTTTGTTTTGGAATTGAACCAAAAACTGGTTCTAAAATATGTAAGCAGAAAATTATATATAGTTCTTAAATAAACAAACATAGCATCATTTTTGGTTACCACTGAAAGTAGCCATGCTTAACTACAGACACAGAAACGAGAAGCTGTAGATTACAATAAAGGTCAGTAGAGGAGGAATGGGTCTGGGAGAGAAAATAGTAGACTGTTACTCTGAGCACTGCAAAGGTACTGATCTAATTTATGTAAATTTAAAGAAGTGGCATATACCAATTTCTGATTGAACATAATTGATGGGTTTCAGCTGAGTGAATATATCTACACATTTTTTCCAAGATCTTGATAAACAATTTATTTAGCTTAAAATATGTAATTTAGGGGGCTACTCAGGTGCTTAAAGCTAACACTTCTTATTAAGGCCTACAGCTTCTCAAATTTATCTTCAGATTATCATTATGGCACCTGGATACAAATTGAGAATAAAATAAACTTTTTCTTCCCCAAATGGAGACTTTCTATTTACTAGGAAAGTGACAGAGTATCTATAGCTAGATATATTATAACAAAGGCATTTACTTGATACTTCTCTCAGAAGTCCTAGTAACAATCTGTTCATAAAAAGGCCAGCAGTGACTTACTCACTCCAAAGCAGTTTATGAGTGGTCATCTCCTCATCATAGACCAGCGCTGTTCCTGAGGCCATCGCTACAGACAGAACAAAACGAAAATCCCAAAACACCTTATTTCAGGCAAGAAGTAAACAAACTTAATATTGTGTTAGTTTGCGAGAATACAGGTACACAGCTTACCTGCTTGCATGACGGTTTTGCACTTTGGACTTTGTGCTTATGGAACGAAACCAAAGAAAATCATTTAGGAGGAGACCAGGGGAGACAATGTTAAGATCGAGGAGTGAGGCAGCAGGGACAGACCTGGCCTCTGGAGGCAGGCCGGCAGGATTCACGACCATCTGAACATTCAAAACCTCGGTGCAGGTTATTTCTGGTGCAGGGGAAGGGCCCACGCCACCCCCCCAGGCCCGTCCAGCCCACTCCAGGGGCAGGCTGTGGAGGAGCTGAGCGCAGGCCTCCCCGTCCCGCCATCGCACATGGGTACCTACCGGTCACTGATGTGGAAGGCGACGGCTGCTCGGCAAAACTTCCGTTCTGAAGCCACAAAATGTGAAAAACAGGGTGGCACGGTGACGGGGAGCTGTTGTGCTTAACACTTCACCGGTCTTTCAAAAAACACAGAAGAGACGGTCACGAGAAACTAAGGAACCACGGGGAGAAAGCGGGAGTCGAGCCACCGGAGGGCGCGTTAAGCTGGGCCGCGGGCCCGCTCCGCTCCGCGCCTCCCGCCCGCCGGGGGAGCCCGGCAGCCTCAGGCCCCCTCACACCGGGCGGCCGGCACCGACCCAGGCCCCGGAGCGGGCCGCGGGCGGGTCAGGCCTCTGGAGGCGGGGAGGGCGGAAAGCCGGAGCGCCTCAGCGGCACCTCCCCGCCTTCGGCCCGCCCGCCCGGAACGCCTCGGCCCGGCGGGTCTGGGAGGGCCCAGCCGGAGTCCCCGCCCGGCGGGCGGCCCTGAGCGCAGCTGGGGGCCCGGCGGGAGAGAGGGGGTTAAATGTCATTGTCGCCGGCGCGGGGAGAAAGCGGGAGTCGAGCCACCGGAGGGCGCGTTAAGCTGGGCCGCGGGCCCGCTCCGCTCCGCGCCTCCCGCCCGCCGGGGGAGCCCGGCAGCCTCAGGCCCCCTCACACCGGGCGGCCGGCACCGACCCAGGCCCCGGAGCGGGCCGCGGGCGGGTCAGGCCTCTGGAGGCGGGGAGGGCGGAAAGCGGGAGGGCGGAAAGCCGGAGCGCCTCAGCGGCACCTCCCCGCCTTCGGCCCGCCCGCCCGGAACGCCTCGGCCCGGCGGGTCTGGGAGGGCCCAGCCGGAGTCCCCGCCCGGCGGGCGGCCCTGAGCGCAGCTGGGGGCCCGGCGGGAGAGAGGGGTTTAAATGTCATTGTCGCCGGCGCGGGTGGGGCTGTGTGTGTCACTGGCGTGTAACGGGAGGCCTGAAAGGACGTGCAAAGGAAAACCTGTGCTTTGCCAGGGCGCTCTGAAGTAGGCCGGGCGGTTTGAACTCAAGGGTGGTTCAGCCACAGGTATTGCGAAGGTTTTAGTACGTAACAAATCCAAGAGCAAAAAAGCACCACATCCCCAGACTGTATGGTATCATAGAATGGTTTGGTTGGAAGGGACCTTAGAGATCATCAAGTTCCAATCCCCCTGCCATGGGCAGGGACACCTCCCACCAGACCAGGTTGCCCAAAGCCCCATCCAGCCTGGCCTTGAACACTTCCAGGGATGGGGCATCCACAACTTCCCTGGGCAACCTGTTCCAGTGTCTCACACCCCTCACAGTAAATAATTTCTTCCAATACCTAATCTAAATCTCCCCTCTTTCAGTTTAAAACCATTACCCCTCGTCCTATTGCTCCACTCCCTGATCAGAGTCCCTCCCCATCTCTCCTGTAGGCCCCTTGAGGTACTGGAAGGCGCTATAAGGTCTTTCAGAGCCTTGTCTTCTCCAGGCTGTATCCTCTAACATAAAGAGAAATTAAATAAAAACTTGAACTAAGATGATTACTCCTTCATTTTTGCAGAGTAACGCGGGAACTAGCAGCCAGCCTGACCCTTCACAGCAAGCCTCAGGGCTGGTGCTTCTCCTGCAGGTCCTGAGTGGGTCAGTGGCCGCTGGGCTGTCCCGACACCCTTGGCAGCTCCTGACAGAGCCCTCCTGGAGCCGTGGGCGTGTGTAGAGCCATGAAGGGCTTCTTTAAATATTTACCAGTTTTTCCTGCAGGGACCACCACAAACTCAGCAGGATCAAATGAAATGAGCTTTTGAACAACCTACTTTTTTCTAAGCAGTGACTTCATTATGCAACATAAACTGAATATAGGTTGTTTCAGCTTTTTTCCCCTCAGTTTCTATTAGTTTTCCAGTTCATGGTAGAAAGTGATGGAGCAGGCATCATCAGGAGCATGCATGCAAACCTGCACTCAACAGGGGACTTAGCAAGAACCCAGATCATTACAGATGGGACTTTTAGAAAGCTACTGATCATAAACTTTTCCCATATTTGTTTCAAGAAATTATGATCATAATAGACACTGTATTACTGAAATAGCTTGTATTATCAATTACCTGCTCTTGGGTCTATTATACATATTTGTAAAACTAAAATAAAATTCTGTCCATCGTCAGATTGTCTTTAATGTCAGCATGTTGCACTGACAATCAGATTGCTAATCATGTGGCTATTGTAATATTTTGCATTTATTGAATATTATCGCTCCATTAGTTCCCTGCAGTCCACTTAGACAACTGGTAAAGATTCTGCATTGGCTTTTTTAATGTGTCTGAAAATGAAAAGGGACCTTTCAGTAGAGGGGGGGCAATTTAGATTTCAGCTGAAAAGTGTTACCTTCAAGGTGGTCGCGCAAGAATTAAAGATTTCAAAGACTGCATTTAGCCTTTTCTCTCAGGTGATAACACTGAGACATTGTCAGCTCTGTCCTTGTAAAATGATGTCCCAGCAACCAAATCTTCTTGTATCTGGGGCCAACCATATCGTGCTTACAGTGATTTCTTCCCCTTTGTTCCACTTTAATTCTAGCGAAAGCGACCAGCAGAGGGCTGCCTTCTTTTAAAATAGTGTAATGGGAGACAATGCAGTGGATTAATTAAACATTTAAGCAAGGGAAACTTTAGGTAATTGGAGAAAATGGCAGAGTGGAAAGTATAGCAAAATACATTACAGGTAGTCAGCTGGATTAAAACTGTTTTATGCCAGTTATTTATCATATTACAAAATATTTTTGCAAAAACTCAAAGAAATATTTATGTATGATCAGCCAAGTTCAAACTTGATGTGGATAGCTGGAACACTACGGAAGGAAGGCCTGGTAACACTGGGGTTTAAGTTCAACCTATAATACAATTTAAAAGGAAACTAAGACTTTACATTCCACTTATAGTACATTCCTATTTACAATATAGTTTTGGCATGAGAAGTATAACAATCTTTTTTACAAATAATACGATAACTATTTACAAACATTTATGGTATCTCCACTTCTGTGTGGCCAAAGTCAGCTGGGAGTCCCTTCTCTGCCAGCGATAAACCTGGTTTACTAAAATGGCGCCCTCTTCAATATTTCCCACGAGGAGATACACCATGGGACGATGGGTAGGGGTCATCCTCTGCGTGCAGTTTTCATTGATAAGCAGCCACTGTTGTATCATATTCTGAGTTTCATAAGGCAACAGTGAGCCCTGTGTAATGAATTCCACCTGGCATTCAATGTTATACTCTTGGTCACCAAATACTGTTCTCTTCTTGGACAGCTTTACTTTCACTGCTAAAGAAAATAAAAGGAAATATGTAAGTCACTCTGTTTACTCAAATGCAGAAACAAACACTAACAATGAAAGCAGAACAATTCCTTAAAAACACTGTCATAATTTATGCTGATAGAGTATGGCAAGGCCTTCTCCAGGAGCAGTATACATTCTGAAATATTTTTGAAAAATGAAAGTCATGAGTTAGAGAATTTGTTTAATGGAATTTTTTCACAAAGATGAGTAATGTATTTTTACCATCACCATGTATGTTAGACTTTGTGGATAATTAGATATTGTAAGCTGGTGGCGTTGTTCTCATATAACGAGGCTGCCCGTCCTGCCCAAGAATTTCTCCAGAAACTCTCTTTGTCCATGGTATGAACCCCTCAGCTACACTACCTAGCAATGCTTCCTGATACCACCCTTTTAGATACTCCTTTTTCATTACAGGCATCTTACCTGCCCCACTTGACTCCACCAACACTTTTTAGCGTGACATTTCTCTGAGCTAAAGCCAGCCAAAGTCGCTGAGAGTCTTTGCACTGACTTCAAAGGGTTTTGTAGGAAGTTTCTAGGGCAAACTCAAAAGTATTGCCTGTCACTCCGGTAAGACAACACGAGTAAGAATTCATTTTACTGATACGATGTTCTGAGTTTCCTTTTCAGTAAGCTATGTATTACAAACAACTCGTGCACACAAGTAATGAGGACACACCATTCACTGGTGAAACAATCAAAGCTTTACTTGGGTTTAACCATGAATTAAAGGCAAACCTGCTTATTTAGCTGCTTTTGCCGGAAGTATTTTCCATAAAGCATGCTGTAATCCAATGTAGCCAACTAGACAAGGACAGAAGAGCTATTTGATTGTAAACTAGATCATTAATAAATCTTTCATGCAAAACAAATCCTACTTATATTTTGATTAGAAAGAACATATTTGATAAACAACAAAAAGTTTTCAGCAGCCAAACTCTTAGGATTAAGACTTTGAAATCCCAGCAGAAACTGTCAGTGATTTTAATCCCAGTTTTAAAGCATTTTAGAAGGAGAGCTGTTAGTCTCTTTAATAGCCGCCATATTAGCAAGGACTTACCAAAATCATTGTCACAGAAAACTTCAAGAACTCTTTTGTGCGTAAAGAATTCCTCCACTGCTGGGCAGGCCTGGCAGGCAGGCTTTGGTAGGACTGGTAAGGAATGACAAAGTTTCATCGTTATCTTTTAGAATCTTTTGTGTTAGCTTTCTGCTGTCAAAGCTGAGAGCCCACTGTTTAACCACAGGGATGACAGAGGAAATACACAATTGGTAAAAAACATGGCCAAGGATGAAAAGGTGGCCAGGGATGAAAAGGCAGCCAGGAATGAACAGGTTTTTCATTTTCTGTGCCCATTCAGTCCCTGTTCAGCCTGACAAGCTCAATTGTCAGCATCAAATACAGCTGGGGACACAGACTGGCTGGGGACGGTGTCCCTTCTGTCTCCTTGATTCCCAGGGACACAGACTACGGCCACCCTCCCCTCTGCCATCTCCCAGCTACCTTTGTGCAGGTGTTTATGCTCCTTGGTAAGAGATGCCAGGCACATGTCCTCGTCGGCAGGGAATCGCTGGCAGTCCAGGCTGTGTGGCCAGGGGTGCCCGTGGCAGGCCAGCACGGGGGCACAGCTCTCACGGACGGCGACACACATGCTCCGACAAGGGTGGATAAACCTGCCACCACGGGGAATACCAGCCTGAATCAGTTCAACTCACCCGGCGGTAACAGAAACTACTGCAACAGTGATTTCTGTGCAAAGTACATCGTCTCCACTGATACTTAACATCCTTCAGTATAATTTTAGAAGCGTCCGCCTTGCAAGCTGTGCAAGTGGTCTGGGTATGGACTGGACTGTGCTTACAAGATTAAGTCACAGTTTTTAAAAGGCTTTTATGACAACCTGAGAAGAGCTTCAGCATGAGCCTGATTCTATTTGCAATAGGTGCTTCAGCCCTAAATTAACAAGAATAAATTGTCAACTGTAAGAAAATAAAACATTATATCCTTTGACAACAGCATTCATTTTTCCAAGGCGAATGAAAGTTTAAGTGGAACAGATTTTCAGTACTTTTCTTTCCAATGAGTACTGAAAAGTTAACAGAATTATTTCAGAAAAAGTGGAGATCGCCTTCAGATTACAATAAACATGCATTTCATTTGATCCCTGTTCTGGCAAATAAAGGCTGGAGTTTTGTACTGTGCTGTGGTACTTACGTGTCTAAACAGATGGGTGCAAACAGGGAGCACAGGAATGTCCTCACGTGAGGGTGACAGTCTGTATGCGCGAGGTGCTGCCAGGTGGTGGATTTTAGGATAACTTCTGCCATGCTCGTGTGTCCCATCAGGTTGGGAAGCCTCATTTCGGAGTACCCAATCTTGTGGCACATGTCCATCTCCTTGGGTATCACCACACATTTCGTGGATAATCCAATGTCAAAGCCTGTTGCCACTCTTAGGAAACCACTCAGAGCAAAACCAAGTATTTTTGCAGTTAAAAACATCTTCCAGTGACTCCTGGGCTGCCGAGCAGGGAGCTGTCAAACCCCCCAAGTGCAGGGGCACACTGAAAACCTTGTGGCTTATATACCCCAAGAGCTTAATAAACCATTGGTTATCACCTGCTTATCAAATCACTCGAGACAAGAGCAGGTCTTATTGCCTATTTAAGGGATTGTTGTGATAACCAGGGAGGTGGAGGCGAAGTATAGAAGTATGTTCCCTAAAGACACCGGTTTGGTATAGCTTTTCACATGTCCCACGGTGTCAGTTCCTGCAGCGTGCTATGTGGCATATTAAATTTTGACACCTAAGACGGTTTGCTATGTGCTTTCTAAAACAAATTAAGAGATCCCCCAGAAAAACGGTTGGGCAGACAAGCTGTCTCCTGGGGCTGCTGTGTCTCCTTTGTTTTCAGACACTGCTGACAGGGCAGAAAAAACCAGCCCAGATTGACTTATCAAGTGAAAATGTTTTGCTTGTGCTAATTGCTCGTGTCTCTTCCACTGTTTTACAATGTAGAAGAAGTACTTTCTTTAGTTGGTCAAGCGCTATAAAAGAGACAGCCTCCCGCTATTAACCAAGTATTCTGTCTGGAAATGTGAATCCCTGTCCTGTGAGATGCTAAAGGTCTTAACCTCTATTAATTTTAACAGACACCTGAAAATACAGAATTGTTTTATTGGCTGGAGTATGTGCCTATAAGATGGCTACAGAACTCACATCTTGCATTTATTCAAGTTCAGTGGTGGGTTTAATATTGTAGGACTATTGTGGCTGTCAGTATTTATTCAGAGTGACAAGGCAGTTACACATATAGAGAAAAATTTTTATTACTTCAAATGAACCTGGGTATACTTAAAGTTGCTCAAATAATGCAGCGTTTCACCGATTTATTAATAAATGATAATTACCTGAAGCTGTATGAAAGCAAATGCTAGCAGATGTGTACTTCTGTTTGTAGCACAAAAAATAGTATTAGAATTCTTAAGTTAAAAGTTAACAGAATTACTGACTGAGTACTTCATTATTGTTCTTAGCACAGTACTGATAAACAGGTCTTCACTGTAGAGAAGTTGGGGAATTAGTTAAGGTGACAGGGGGTCTGAGTAATGTGTAGCTTATCTATTATGAATAAAAAAGTGAGATTATTAGTTAAAAGCGTTGAAGATCAAAACAAAACATTTTGTAGAAATTTTTAATTCCATGAAACCATTTTTCAAATTACTTATGAGTGTTAATTTTCATTTCCATTCCTTATTACAGGATTTATTAGCAGAAATGTTTAGATATTAATAATATGTAGGTGGATCTACTGTAAAATATCTGGCTTGATTACGAGGCTAAAATGAATATGTTTGTAATAGTGTATCAGCTAGTGTTACTGATGATTGAAATATATTTTTTCAGAAACAGCAGCTTTTTGTGCTTATACCTAGATGTAGCACATTCAGACAATGTGCTATATATCGTTTACATGTTTATACCTAAGTGCTAGATTATTAATCCTAGCATCTTCAAAATCAATGACAAACCACCACGGATTCCTCCTTAGCTGTCTTCTTTAAACTACTGGGAAAATTACAGTATCTGTTTAAATAAGTCAGAAAAAAATGGCAGCATGCAAGGTTCCAGTAATCAAAGACATATTAAAAGAATTGTCAGTTTTTCTTTTCATGTTTTTTTGCCAGCTCTGTGTTTTTTCCCAATAAATGTGGTTTCTCTGTATCTGTTACCACACTTCAAAACAGAGGAACTGACTACCAAACCAGGCTGATTTCAGCCTGATGGTACCGGTACCATCCCTTTGCCAGGTGCTCTGTGTCTTCCATAAGAAGGTGAAGAGCCTCACTGAAACTCAGTAAAAGTCATGTTCTTGCTAAATCTCTGCAGGTACCCCTGGGGACCACGCTTTGCCATAGCTGTTTTTGCTCCCATTTTGACAGCAGGGAGCTGCTCAGCACAGGGAGAGGGAAGACTCACACATGAAGCCAACTGTGCAAGCGGCTCCTCGGGATCTTCTGGATCTCAGGCAGGCTTGGAGCAAAGCCCTGGTCCTCACCTCCTGGGCACAGCGGCCCAGAGCACAGAGCTTGGCTCACACAGGCTCCAGAGATCTTGCAGAAGTGCTGATAGCTCCCACCTAAGTGTCACTTCAGCCCTCAGCAGCTGGAGTCAAACTGGGCTCCATTTATGAGTGTCCCCCTCACCCAGCAAGCGTCTGCATCCAAACGTGATGCTGCTATCTTTACCGAGTCACCCCATAATTTTATGAAATTAATCAAACTCCTCTCTGGCCCCAGTAGTAGTATTCCATGGTATTTTTCTCATCTGGTTGTTATCTGAAAGTAGGTGGCAAGATCTCTGGTGAAGGAAGCCTTTCTGTTGCATGTGAAGCGTGGTATTACACGCACATTTCTGAGTGATATAAAATATATATTAGGAAAGAGTATTTGGTCTCTCAATTATTTAGATGTTTTTCTCTGGGACTGTCTCAGAACCCGCAAGAAAACTGGGTTGATCTCAACTCCTGAGCCAGCTCTGTTACTCCAGATGATGACAGGTCACTGAGTCACTAGCTGTGCCAGCACTGCTCTGCAAGAACAACGTCCCGGCGGTGCTGCCGAAGGGGCTCGCTCTGCCCCTTCCCACCATCAAGTGCCTGGCAAACCACCCCGTGATGGGCCAAGCTCTGGCTGTGCCTGAGACCAGGGGCACTGGGTTGTGGTACAGCAGGTCTGGTTTTGGGAGCTCCCTCTGGGCCACCGCTTGATGGACACAACAGGAACAGGCATAATGAGAGTGCGTGGGACGAGAATGCTCTAATAAGAGCTAATACCTCTCCTGACAAACTTTTTCTCCATAGGAACTGTCTTGAAATAAATAATTGTTTATCTCTGAGTCACTGTTTCCTCCTGGAGCTTCACATGGGGTAGATCACTTATGAGCGACCTCAGAGCTGTGCCTTGAGGTTTATTTTAACCTCAGTTACGTCTCAAAGGAGGCCAGCTATCTGGTGGTGCTTTGCTTTTGTCGAGCTGACTTTCAGGGGGTCATCATTTTGTAATGCTGAAGAAAACAATTTTTCTTACCTGTGAAGATGGTGGCGTCTTTAGAGTCTGAGGGCCCGACCACGCTGGAGTCGGGAAGGAGCTGTGTTCCACTGCTTGGCCACACCTGGTCCTTCAGCAGGAAGCCAAGGGGATTCAAGGGTGTGGGGGACACACCACATATTTGCTGTCAGAAGAATGGCAAGCCATCTGCTTTGCTTCTGTTTTCTTGTTTTCTTGCTGTTTTGAGTGAAGCAGCCATTCACCTAGGGAATAGTGAAGCTTTGCGTGTTTGTCAGGAATGAGGAAGATGACTTGAGGGCTGAAGGGTCGTCACTGGCTCCAAGAACAAAATGTGCCCAAGTGCCTTTGGTTGTCACCTGTGATTGCATGGGGTTTAAGGCTGGATCTGAAACCAGAGCATGATCTGTAATTCAATCATTTCAGCTAGCTTCCTTCTGTCAGGAAAGAGCTTAATTTATGGGAGCTTCTGGTCCCTCTCCCTTCTGACAGTCACTGGGTTCCAGATGTTACCTGGGTATGTTTGACACTCCTTTTCGCCACACTCACAAGCTGCTTTTAAGCAAGGGAATGGCTTTAGCTGCACTTCTGTTTAGGCTTAATTATTTTGATCTTCTTCATGAGCAGATGCTACCTTGAAACAGGGTTTGACAGCAAGTCATTATAATTTATCATTTTTAGCAGGAGTCTTGCAGAACAGTTATTAAAAATGACCATGTGAGGTAGATTGCCATTGCTTGGAGAGTGCTCTGGGTCTGTCAGAGGTTGGCTCCTCAGCAGAAGCAGGAGCTGCTGCTGTGCCATAGATTCTCTTTTTTTTTTTTTTTTTTTAAATTGCTCAGCTTTTTGTATCTCCTCTCTGTGTTTTAATACTGTAAATAATTGATCATACTGCTTGGCCATAGTTTTTCTTTTTTTTTTTTTTTTTTTAAGATGCTCAGCTGCTTGTTGACACGGCGTGGAAAAGAAAAAGGTCAGGCAAATATACACACAGCTTGCTCGTGGGAACATGGTAAACTGTGATTTACTGTTGCCACACCAGGGAAACATTCAAATTACACAAAAGCTGACAAGGGCACGGTATTTCTAACAGTTTGTAGAGGTTGCTTGAATAACAACTGTATAAAATAATAAAAAAAATTCATTAGTTTAGCAAACTATCACAAGAATTGCAGCATCTGCATACATTTCTAACAGGCAGCATAAAATACAAGACCTGAGGGTTTAGAGAAACTTCCGTCTCAGGGTCTGGAGAGAGCTAATGCTCTTAGAGACTTCTGAAGAAAGCTGCGTGGTTGTTCCCTTAGCCACGGGCTGTATTTATTGTTCCTGGATATGAGAAACAGTCACCTGCTGATGGACCCTGATAACAGCAGCAGCCTCGGGAGGCTCGCTCCCTGCCCACCTCTGGGTCGCCTCCTTTGACTGTTACCAGGGAGACAGACAGAGATTAACCAGGAGCCACCCATCAGACCCCAGTAAGAAATGCCACTGAATTTTTTCTTCAAAGAAAGTAGTGGTTTGAGAGCAAACTAGCAGATGTGGGGATTTTTTGTTTTCATCTAAACATTTGCTGCAATATTCGTCTGGAGTCATTTTTATCTGAAGCCTAATTGCAGAGATGCAAGGCGCTCAGACAAGGATCAAAGCTGCTACGGTGCACCCCGAGTCACGAAAGGAGGTTGGGGAGAGGTGGTCATCACTCTGATGGCAGCTTTGCTGGACCAACATCCTTGCTCTGAGAGGCAGGATTTATTTCATAACATTTCCTTTGCTTTATTAAAAAACAATTATGTATGAATGACATCTAAAACAGTAGAAGAAGAGTCATAGATGGTTTTGAAAAAAACTTGTTAATTTATTCATCACAATGGCTTTAGCATTGCTCTAATATTTAAAGAACAGAAATACTATATTTCCTTATAAATCTGGAATGCAAGCAGATAAAGGCTCACTGCCCTGGCACGCCGAGCTCTGTACTTACTACTTTTGATTGATTGGCTGAGAGGAAAGTTTGTTTTCATAGTGAAAGTCAATGATTTTTGGGACCCAAACTTGGTTTTTGACTCTGCCACAAGCTTCTTGTTGAAGTTTAACCCCACCACACACTCCTCCACACACAGACTGTCCTGCTTCACATGGAAGTTAAATGCATTCCAATATGAAGCATTCAGGTGCTGCAAGAGGCACATAAATACCCACACAGATCCCAACAGGATCACCTAAAGGCACAAGGGTGCTGAATAGTGTACACAAACGGGGTAGGTAGCCTTTCCTAACTATGTCAAGGATGGAAAAAAGGGCATAGTAAGATTAGATGAGTTGCTGATGAGCTAGCAGCTAACACAGGCATATAACCCTGAGCTTTGCCATCACAATATTCATTGACTCACTGAGCCTTCAAGGTCTCCAGCCCAGCAATATTTTGGTCATTGCAAAGGAGGACAAGTCACGTAAAATGATTTTAGGGGAAGAACTGAATTCCTGTGCTGACTTACTAGCAGCATGCTCCTGAAACTGCATTCAGGCCACATCCCGTGTGCTGACCGTATGGTGAACATTGTGTTGGTTAAATGCTGTGTGAAGCAGTTTGCTCTCAAGGCAGCTGAAAGGAGGAGAGAAGTGCTGGTACGATTATCATTAAAAAAGTGGGATTTTGCTCTTCAATCATAAGCAGTGCGGCAGGCTCAATAGTGTTGTTTTGCTCCAGGGGTAAGCAAATTCCAAATAATGGCTTTCAGGTGAGAGTAAAATACAGTCTGTCTGAATTTAAGAGTTTACACTATTGATCATGGACCAGATGAGCACCTTCTACAGAGAGGCAGTAATAATAGCCACTCTTCTCTGTTTCCCTCCAGGTGAAAAATTAAACTTCTAGGGTTTTTTTCCTCTGGTTGGTATTGGTTTGTTTGTTGGTTAATACTAGCTATTTTTCTTTTTGGTTTTTACTCAGTTTTACTGGGTTTCAATTTAGTTTTGCTTTGATTTAATTTTGTGGAAGAAGGACCATTTGACAAATGGAGTTTCACATATTTCAGGCACAATCTGCAGAAAAGCTCCTGTTTCTTTTAGGCTTAAGCAGGTTTTGCAGTCTTTTGGCCACTGGGCTGATGCTGGTTTTCCCTCAATCAAATTTCTGTCACAGCTGATCCCCCTCTGATGCATCGTCCATCACAAGCAGCTCCAAATGCAATCTGCTTGGCCATAGTTTTTCTTTTTTTTTTTTTTTTTTTAAGATGCTCAGCTGCTTGTTGACACGGCGTGGAAAAGAAAAAGGTCAGGCAAATATACACACAGCTTGCTCGTGGGAACATGGTAAACTGTGATTTACTGTTGCCACACCAGGGAAACATTCAAATTACACAAAAGCTGACAAGGGCACGGTATTTCTAACAGTTTGTAGAGGTTGCTTGAATAACAACTGTATAAAATAATAAAAAAAATTCATTAGTTTAGCAAACTATCACAAGAATTGCAGCATCTGCATACATTTCTAACAGGCAGCATAAAATACAAGACCTGAGGGTTTAGAGAAACTTCCGTCTCAGGGTCTGGAGAGAGCTAATGCTCTTAGAGACTTCTGAAGAAAGCTGCGTGGTTGTTCCCTTAGCCACGGGCTGTATTTATTGTTCCTGGATATGAGAAACAGTCACCTGCTGATGGACCCTGATAACAGCAGCAGCCTCGGGAGGCTCGCTCCCTGCCCACCTCTGGGTCGCCTCCTTTGACTGTTACCAGGGAGACAGACAGAGATTAACCAGGAGCCACCCATCAGACCCCAGTAAGAAATGCCACTGAATTTTTTCTTCAAAGAAAGTAGTGGTTTGAGAGCAAACTAGCAGATGTGGGGATTTTTTGTTTTCATCTAAACATTTGCTGCAATATTCGTCTGGAGTCATTTTTATCTGAAGCCTAATTGCAGAGATGCAAGGCGCTCAGACAAGGATCAAAGCTGCTACGGTGCACCCCGAGTCACGAAAGGAGGTTGGGGAGAGGTGGTCATCACTCTGATGGCAGCTTTGCTGGACCAACATCCTTGCTCTGAGAGGCAGGATTTATTTCATAACATTTCCTTTGCTTTATTAAAAAACAATTATGTATGAATGACATCTAAAACAGTAGAAGAAGAGTCATAGATGGTTTTGAAAAAAACTTGTTAATTTATTCATCACAATGGCTTTAGCATTGCTCTAATATTTAAAGAACAGAAATACTATATTTCCTTATAAATCTGGAATGCAAGCAGATAAAGGCTCACTGCCCTGGCACGCCGAGCTCTGTACTTACTACTTTTGATTGATTGGCTGAGAGGAAAGTTTGTTTTCATAGTGAAAGTCAATGATTTTTGGGACCCAAACTTGGTTTTTGACTCTGCCACAAGCTTCTTGTTGAAGTTTAACCCCACCACATTGTACTCCTCCACACACAGACTGTCCTGCTTCACATGGAAGTTAAATGCATTCCAATATGAAGCATTCAGGTGCTGCAAGAGGCACATAAATACCCACACAGATCCCAACAGGATCACCTAAAGGCACAAGGGTGCTGAATAGTGTACACAAACGGGGTAGGTAGCCTTTCCTAACTATGTCAAGGATGGAAAAAAGGGCATAGTAAGATTAGATGAGTTGCTGATGAGCTAGCAGCTAACACAGGCATATAACCCTGAGCTTTGCCATCACAATATTCATTGACTCACTGAGCCTTCAAGGTCTCCAGCCCAGCAATATTTTGGTCATTGCAAAGGAGGACAAGTCACGTAAAATGATTTTAGGGGAAGAACTGAATTCCTGTGCTGACTTACTAGCAGCATGCTCCTGAAACTGCATTCAGGCCACATCCCGTGTGCTGACCGTATGGTGAACATTGTGTTGGTTAAATGCTGTGTGAAGCAGTTTGCTCTCAAGGCAGCTGAAAGGAGGAGAGAAGTGCTGGTACGATTATCATTAAAAAAGTGGGATTTTGCTCTTCAATCATAAGCAGTGCGGCAGGCTCAATAGTGTTGTTTTGCTCCAGGGGTAAGCAAATTCCAAATAATGGCTTTCAGGTGAGAGTAAAATACAGTCTGTCTGAATTTAAGAGTTTACACTATTGATCATGGACCAGATGAGCACCTTCTACAGAGAGGCAGTAATAATAGCCACTCTTCTCTGTTTCCCTCCAGGTGAAAAATTAAACTTCTAGGGTTTTTTTCCTCTGGTTGGTATTGGTTTGTTTGTTGGTTAATACTAGCTATTTTTCTTTTTGGTTTTTACTCAGTTTTACTGGGTTT